GCTCGTCAAAAACCCTCGCCGCCGCTTCAGAATGGTCGCCGACCTCGCCAAGCGAGCCGAGGCTGATCGCAAACGCCACAAAATCCAGGTCTCTCTCTGTGTATGTGTGTGTGTGTTGCTATAGGTGTATGCATATGTATAATATTCTCGCAATTGGAATGGTCAGCTGGTTGTAGCTTATGTAACACGAATTTTGATAGCATGGAAATTTCCTGCATGTTTCACTGGCGTCTAATTTCTATATAATTTTGTGGCATTCACACGAAAAAACACACAAAACACGTTAATTGACCTGGATGGATATATATACACTCTTGTGAATTTTGAATTTTCTGAACCTCAAACAAACCCAAGAACAGAGAAACCCAACAGAATCTGCCTGCAAATTGTTGTCACGTTAGCTTAACTTTGTCTGACCATGATACAGGTTAGCTGCCATTAATTTCTCTGCTATGTTCATTTCCAAAATTTCGGGAGGCAGATGCCGTTTTCGCATGTGGTGGTCTATCTCTTATGGTTGCATCGTGCATGTGATGAACACACTTTCTCTCGACTTTTGCGTGGACTAAACCTCATGATATTCCTTTATTTTTTTGAAAGAAAAAAAAATATGGCCTTGTAAAACAAACAAAGGTCTATTTGGGTATAAATGTGTTTTGTCAGTTGAACAAACCAGAAAACGCTGTCTTGGTTTGTCAAAAAAAGCAGGTGGTGGTGTTCGCAATCGACCTTAAGACTAAATTAGGATTTTGGATCGTTTGTGTTATAAATACGTATATTTTGGAAAAGAAATCTTTCGCATAGGCAGTTGGTTTTTACAGTCTCCAATAAATATTTGTTAACTGTCTATGACATCATGGTTTTCATGAATTTGAGTGTTCCATTCTTCATGAGACTGTATGCAACAGTACATGAACTAACCTTATTTGTGTTCTGCATATGGCGACTGTATGTAACAGTACATGAAATAACCTCACCTGTGTTCTCCATATGGCGAATGACCCTATATATATTAAGTTTGTGTACAAGATGTCAAAAATTGGAAATTGTGATAATATGCCTTAAGCTTAAGTAAGAGTATTGGGTTTATCTTGGTGGAATTATTGAAGTTCACTCTTTTAGCATAACTTTCCGCACTGTAAAATCATATGCAGAATCATGCATGGACAGATGCTTGCCTTAACTCTGTACCATAAGAGAATAATTTTTGTAAATTACAGGATATAGTTTTCGATTTCATGTTTCCCGAG